CTGAGATATTTTCAATATTTGAGAAAATTGTGAAGCGCCCTCATGACCCACTTAGAGCGTCATATGAGTATTCCGTCTTCACAACATGGCTTCTGTGAAGGACGTTCTGTCAAAACCGCCTTGCTAGTATGTTTAAGTGATTTCACTAAGGCTTTAGATGAAATAAAGGGAGCCCATGTAGTATATTTTGACTTTTCAAAGGCATTTGACTGAGTGCCCATACCCCTTCTTTTGAAAAAGCTTCAGTACGTCGGTTTTCATTATAGAGTCATTAGGGGGTCAGAGCTTTTCTACTCTCTGGGAGTTATCAAGTCCGTATCGGACATGTTCTATCCGGTCTATGTCCACCCACCAGTGGTGTGCCTCAGGGCGGAGTGCTGTCACTGCTGCTATTTTTAGCCTACACCTGCTACCTGCCTAACTCGCTATCTAGCATTCGAGTACCTGTTTGATATATGCTGATGACATCAAGATTTATACAGTTGTTAGAAACTCAGAAGATCTAGTGAACTACAAGCGGCAATTGATAGAGTTGGGTCCTCGTCCTTTGGATGGAATTTGCCTCTATCATTTGAAAAAACCTTGTTTTTGTGTATTGGTGTGAGCACGAACGTGAATTACCGACTAGGGACCAAAGAACTCAAATGTTGTTCTGATGTTTGTGACCTCGGCTTCAAATTCGACAATAAGCTCGGTTTGATAAGAAGCTATAGAGAGATCGTATCCAAAGCAATGTTCAGAGTTCGTAACCTTTTCAGAGCCGTCCATTCCAAGAACTCTCGTATCCTCATTAGAGCTTATAAGACTTATGTTAGGCCAATCCCTGAATCGGTTGAAGTCCATACAAGAAAAAGGGTATACGTTTACTGGAAAATATCCTGAACAGCTTTACACAGAAACTTGCTGAGAAAGCTGCGCTGTTCTGGGCTGACTTATGAATATATTCCTCATAGTACAGAACGACGCCGTGTGTTTTCTCTCACTAGCCTTCGATGAGAAGAAAGCTTGATTCCTTTATGGCGTTTGAGCTCTCAACTTGTGTGGCTACAGTAGACTCTATCAATTTTTTGAACTAGTTACATGAGATTCAGAGGTCCTGTCTCCCATTAAAATCAAAATCCCACTAGCGCGAACACAGATTCAATCCAAATATTTTTCCTCAAGAGTGAGAGTGATCCTCTCTTGAGGAAAATGTAACGTGATAACATCATGCACCCTACTCTTAACTCCTTCGAGGTGTGGCTATCAAGACTTTGCATGCAGAGAGGACTTGTATGCTTTCTGGTTAAGGTTCCGTTGTTATTTTCACTTGGCCTTTTCTTATTTTACTATTCCCATGCTATTAGCTTGTTCTCTTGTTTCGAATAGTTTTGTTGTACTCATGAGCTTGATATGTTTTATTCGTAATTGTCATTTCATTTGAATCTCAGGGCTTTCTCCGTGTGGATAGTTTGTCTACCTGCGTACAAATAAAAAAATAAATATGGTGCAAGAATTTTTTTGTATTTTGAAAAATGAAATCGTGAGAGCGCTGTACCAGGAAACCTTGGAGGCGCTCCACGATGCCGTAATGGAAACCAAAAGAACAGATAGTAAGGAAAAACTCAAAGAGTTTATGAGTATAGGAAAAAGAATGGTAAAAAATGCTCGAAGAAACAAAGAAACGCTCACGGCTAGGGAAAGGGACTGGTATAGCCCAGGTGTCAGGAATCTTAAGTTCAGCAGGAGATGAACCAGCAATCGCAGTGGATCAGAACCCCATGCTCAGGTGCCGTCTAACATATCGGATAATTATTCATCGTGCGTAATATCGGAAATTCATCTTGTGGATCGCAGCACAGCAAGCCTCAGAACACATAACGCCTCAGGCCACTTATAGTGTTCACTGGATCGACGCCTATTCCTTAATGAATCGAAAACTCCTGAGTTAAGTAGGAAAGCTTCAGACTTTGATTCTTTCTGGGAATCGCTCGAGGAACTGGTTGACAAACAGTCTTGCTCCAACATCAAGAAATTTTCAGTACTGGTCAAATGTTTAGGGGAAGTGGCAGGAACCATCCGAATGGTTCCGAAAAAACAGACACTCACTAAAAAGCAAGTAAAGAGTTGAAGAAACAATGGAGAACCTACAAAAGGTAACTATGGAAATGATTGGCAAATCAAAAACCATACGGAAATCTAGGGATGATCTAAGGTCGCTAAAGAACACTTTGACCGATGTTCATCCTGAAGCAGACACACTCAGCACAGCTCTTCTTCTCTTCAACTAAAAGACTTTGTCATTGGTCATTGCAAAACTGACATCTGAAACCGTCTCCGAAAAAAGCCAGAAAGTCTAATTGAGAAAAAACTGCAGATAGTAAATTCGTTCTTGAGCTTCTGAAAGAAGAGAAGCAAGTTCAAGGAATCACTGCTGTGTCAGGTAAGTAGCAGGATTAGAAGAAGACACGGCAAAATTGATAAATTAGAATGTTAAACGAAGCCCCTGCACCTGATGTAAAGAAACCTCGAATTCGTTATGGTTGCTGCCCTTCTATGGAGATTCGAGCGTGAGCATCACGAATTCTTGAAGATCATGTTTTCAGTGTTCGCGGACGTCGGTACATCAAGTAATTAACCTCGCATTGGAAGAATCACTGACAAGAAAGGGATGGAATATTTGCCACGGTAGCTTGCTATCTGATGATTAGGACAAACGACGTTTCACCCGGATTATGGAAGATTGCCCTTGTCTGTTCTCCAACTTTACCAATACTGGGATTTGATGCACCAATCTCTTATGGACCCGTTTGAGATGCGTGTGTTGATGAAAAAATTGGGCAGAGATTCTGTGCAGTGCCATTATGTCTGCTGTTAGCTGTCTATACTCAGTAATTAAAAGTCCAGAAGTCTTTGGTGTTCACCAATTCCTTTTTTTGGGATGCATTCACACATTCAACTGAAAATCAAAATCTTAGTGGTGTAATGAATGGCATGTGGCCTATACAATGACTTTGCGATGACCAGTAGAAGTACGATTCAGTGCTATCATCCTCCCAAACGAGTTTAGCACCAATGAACCGACCTCTGAGGATGGGAGGTCCGGTTGGCCAACCGGGTATCTATCCTGAATCTGATCCCCGCACCATGTTTGTGTGACAGTGGGCATTTTAATACTGCATCTCCTTCGTACTCCCAATTACTACCACTCGAACCATTTTTTCTGCATGCTTCTAATGGGCAAATATTGGGTACCTGTAACCGGTCGTTACCACCTACTGCGAACGATGCCTAACACACTCTTTTGCACTAATTGACCCTATTCGTACCACTTGTGAGTACCCCCCGCGGTCACATTTGCTCACTTTTGTTGTTCTTCTTCGACGAACGGATGTTTCCATGGCGTCCATACCGTTAATCCTTCTTCTTATGCTAAGTGGTTTTCATACCGTGCTTTCTTCAATCGCTCTTTCTTCAAGAGGCAAGTTCAACAAGGTCGATGTTAGAAATGTGAATGATTACAGCAGTCATCTTTTCTTTTTTGCAGGTATTGCATTGGTCGGTCAATTTTGCTCGACCGATGACGAATGCGTTTCAGGAGCTCGCTGCTCAATGGGTCGGTGCACATGTTTCGATAACTATGTGGCTATCAAGAAGTTCTGCTGGAAGAGTTAGCTACATTACTATTTATGAGTGCCTTTTGTTTATGTTTACTCATTCCTGATCATAATGCCTTGGCCGAAAAGATTACCATTGAGAACTTCTAAACCCTATCTTGCTAGGGTTTTCATCCATAGATTCGACTCACACCCATCACTTGAAAATCTGTCCCACCCTGCTGTTTTCTGCCGACTCTTACGATGCTATTCGGTTTGTATACTTATTACCGTCGGGGCAGGTTCTACGGTGCCTGATTGTGTCATATTTGGTTGTGAAGTGGATAAGAACTCTTTCTTCTTATGTTCTCAGCCTCCAGAAATCTCGCCCGAAGAATCTGGTTGCACCTACGATGAGCAGTGTGAGGCCGTGTGGCCCAATGCCACATGCCAGTTGTCAATTTGCAAGTGCCCTTCACCAATGCGGTCTTCTACGACGAGGGAGGGGACGGTGTGCCATGCCGTTGGTTAGACCACTTTTCTGTGTTGAGTGTCTCTACTCGTGTGCGCCGAATGAACACCATGATTTTTTTGCAGGAGAATGCCCTACAAATGGCAGAAACTCGCTGCTTTACAATCGTAACACGAACATGCCGTCTGAATGCTCCTTACTTGATGAGCAGGTATGTTAGCCTGTTTGCAGAGGCTGGGTTGAGGTAACAGTGTTCCCCCTTTTTAGCGACTGCCTGGTCTCTTCATCGGCTGCGACGATTTTCCAGAAGTGTACGATTGCATTGGCGGATTGTGCTGTCCCACAAGAGGTTTCTTATTACGTGAAATTCGTTGATTGGAGATCACTGTAATTTTGTGGCTTCATGACCTGTGCATTTGATATTCTAAATTTTTTGGGTCTACTGTAATGGCAGACACCTTTCCGGCGGATCCATCATCTGAATGGGAGTTGAATATGTCATCAAAAAAAGCAGAGCACAGATGAGTGATCCTTGCAGTGATCTCTCATTGGCACTCCTCACGGCTTGACAAAGGCCGTAGACGTGCCTGTAAAATTCCTCTGTTTTCAGCTTTGACGTGCATACAACCACAGGACCCAGGCAACCTCGTCAATCAGAGCTTAAGCAGTACACGATGGTATCACGACCCGATTTCTCATTCCTGTAAACCGTTCACTTACTCAGGTTCCGGTGGTAACTCAAATAACTTTCAAACGGAGAACCACTGCAAATCCTACTGTGTCTCACGTGAGTTCCTGGATTTTTGAGGAGTTTTCTCCTAATATCGCTACACAGAGTTGCCGACCATGTCCATTTGCATATGTATATGTCGTAAATTGTACATCTCTGGTCTCAGTGGTGTTACAGGATGCAGCTATGGCCAACCACAATCATTTCCATTGCAACAGGAAAACAAGGAAGAAATGCGTACCCAATGCACAGCGGCTGAATGCTCGTGTTGTTCTGAGCAGTTCGAATGTGCTCAGGTAGACAGAGGTGTTCAGCAGTGTTGCCCTAGCAGAGGTGCATCTCGTCATGGATCTGAGCTACTTCTGTCAACACTGTTCCCACTGTTCAATTTTCAGAGTTCATATGTAGCGAGTTTGGAGGCGTACGATCCGATTTAACAGACCTGCATATGCCCACTAACGGCCTTCCGTACTCACCCGGCTCTAATCGATTGGGACAAATATCATCTACAAGGCATTGCAGTACCCTGTTGAAATATTTCCGTAGACGGACCAGCATTCACCTTGAGCCTCTTTACGTTTTCAGGTATTATTGGGATCGCAGCAGAAGAGAGTGTTTCCCATTTGTTTTCTTGGGTCAAGGAGGAAATTTCAACAGTTTTTTAACAATGGAACACTGCAACGAGTTTTGCTCTGCGAGTGAGCGATTTTTTCTCTTATGAGCTTATATTTTGTTAACGACATGGAATTACTGAAGAAACGTCTACTTCAGCAAAAGCTACTTTTTTCATTTTGAACACGGATCGGAGATTCTCGACCGGGCGGACCTCTTGTCCTCAAAGATGGCACATGGACCGTTGTCTAGTCTAAGAACGACCTATAAAAGCTCGAAAATTGTCTATATTGTCACACACAGAAAACACCCTGTTCTAACGGTGTTGTGAAGTATGCACCATTCACAGTGGAGCGTTCAGGTCGTCCGTTCTGGAGCAATAATTTTATTTTTTGGTTACTTCCCTGGTTTTTCATTCTCTAGCGTAATAAAGGCTACAGTAGTACAAAATCCTGATTGCATTCAATCCCGACCCATGGCGACAGTGGAAACCAAATTTTATCATTTTTTGTTCATTGCAACCAGCTCTTTAAGCATATGAGAACAACTGAAATCTCATCCAAATAACTGTTTCGCTACCGTTGTCATAATCTACTACAAACCCCCTACTTCAACTAGTTTCAATAAAACTCATGTTTCTGTAATCCTGCATATTTTCGTACTTTTTCTTCAATTATGTACTGTGGTATATCGGCAATAACGCCACTTAACTCGGAAAAATACCACAAAAGTACTGTGGACTGTGTCTTCAAGCAGAGCAGTAAACGGTATTTGCGGAAGGCTGAATATAAGAAAGCCCTGTGCGCTTCGTAATATGCTTCTTATTTCGATTCAATTGATAGTCAAATAATCTTCAATTTTTGAGGGACACTCGTTTCTCCATTTTTCCGAGACGCCTCTTTTCTTGACTTCAATGAGTCTCAGTCGTTTAGCCATGTGTCCCACCGGTTTTCCCTTGAGATCGCCTACTGGGACGCTCATCTCATGTACTTCCGCCAAGCGTTGCCCATCAACTCATAGTTGCCATCATGGAAGATGCTGTCCGAGAGCAAGTGAGTTTGAACTATATTTAACCTTGGCAGTCACTGAACAAAGGCTTCCTTGATTTTGGAATGGTTGGAAGATGGCAGCCAGAGTGGCTGGAAGTGGAAATCAATGGCTCGTCGCGCAGTGAGATTTTGGCTATTTGAAACAACAAAATTATGGATGTGATCCTAATCCAAAAATATGGACGATGAGTCCGCACGACCAGTTCTGTAGGCTGAATGCACCATAACCTTTTACATATGTAGTCATCATAGAGACATACTAAACACATAGCAATCATGTTTTTGACGCCTCCTTACGCGATGATCACTGCTTAAAACTCTTTTCTTCCCAGCTTTTTGTGAAAAAAGCGTTTCCCTGACAAAACTCGACTGCCTAAGAATATTTCTTCGTTTAATACCAAATCCGAATCCTATACCCTTTCTTCTAGAAGCGGTTGAAGCTAGCAGATGATAAAGAGTTTAAATTGAATTCATATACTTCAGAAGTGGCTACGTATTAAGTGTACGGCGACCTGCCTTTCACGGAATTCCTCATTGAATGCGTAATGCGTTGGTGTGTATGGTGAAGAAGAATCAGATGCACATACCCCTTCTGATTGAGTTGAGGCAAAACGAATCTTATTTATAAACGATCATTTTCTTTTACAACGCTAGGATGCCGAGTTTTGAAGAAGAAAAACCCGTGAACAACGTTCGATAGGGTATCGAAGCGCCCAGTTCAATGGCACAGTTCACGATAATTTTGGGTAATAGGGAAACTAGTGCGACTGAGGTGAAGAAACTGCGTGCATTGGTGTTTCCAAAGTGAAAAAA